TCCAGCCCTGGACACCTCCTCCTAGGTTGTCCCTCAGGAAGCCACTGACTTCCCCAATCCTGGTACCACTGCTAGAGGGGACGGGATGGCTATCAACAGGAGTCCTGGGATGGGCAGCTGGTGGGCCAACTGTGTGTTGTTTAGCAAGTTCCTTCTCCCGTCTGGACCTCAGTTTCATCCTTTTGTAAAACAAGTGGGTTAGACCAGACAGCAGTGGTTTTGGTTTCTTTTTTTTTTTTTTTTGGGTTTTGGTTTGTTTTTTTGAGTTGGAGTCTCTCTCTGTTGCCCAAGCTGGAGTGCAGTGGCACGCTCACGGCCACTGCAGCCTCTGCCTGCTAGGCTCAGGTGATCCTTCCGCTCCAGGCTTCCAAGTAGCTGGAACTACAGGTGTGCACCACCATGCCTGGCTAATTTTTTGACTTATTACAGAGACAAAATCTCGCCTAGTTGCCCATGAACTCAGGCAGTCCTCTCGCCTGGGCCTCCCAAAGTGCTGGGATTACAGGCTTGAGCCACTGCGCCCGGCCTACAGCAGTGTTTTTCAAACTTCTGTTTCCCAGTGAATTCTTACGCAGGGCCCCAACATATAGTATGGGAAACATGGAACTGCTCTGGCCTCCCTTTCTCCCCCCTGGTGGCTCCCGAAGCAGGGACTATAAATCCCTAAAGAGGATCTGTGAGGTCCCTCTTCATGGGGCTCTAGGAAATCTATATTAACCTCTAAAGCGTTGCCTGGTATTAGGGTTGTAGGCAGGAACATGAATTCCAAGGACCCCATCAGGAGAAATGTGGGCATTAAGATGGGTCTTATCTTGGGAGTTTCTGGAGCCAATGACTTGCGTCTCTGCCCAAAAACTGTAGTTGTGTCCCTTCCCTCTGCCATGGTGTTTCAGCTTTTCAGGGTTGGAAAGGTGCCTATACCTCTGGGTCCTTCTCTGGGTCCTACTTGGTGACTATAATTCTGCCTCAGTCTCTTTCCCTTCAGTTTCGTATTTGTAAACTGGTAAAATGCAAATTCATCTTGGGAAGGGTGTTAGGAAAGGGATTTATGCTACTGTCAGTTGTTTTACCTGATGAGACATTTGAGAAGGGAGGATAGGGCACTAAAAATCAGCCGACATTTATGTAGTGCGTGCTGGCCATATACTAGTCTACTACAAGGGGAAAGAGGTGAGACTGTCACAACCCTTGCCCTCATGGAGTGCCAAGACAATGGGCAGGAGGGAGGGAACTCACATTTCCTGGGACCACCCAGTAACCATTGAAAACATTTCACTTATGTTATCTCATTTGTCCATAAGGTAGGTATTAGTTTCATTTTCTAAAACTTCGTAAAAATTTGGTTACATACAAAATAAGTATACATCCCATATATCCATGTAGCCACCACCCAGATCAAGAAACAACGTCGCCAGCACCCAGAAGCCTCCTTGCGTCCCCTTCCGGCCACAATCCCTCACTCAGGGACAACCTCTATTCTGACTTGCAGCACTGTGGGTTGGTTTTACCTAAAGGGAATCACACAGTATGTAGTATCCTGTGTCTGGCTACTTTCACTCAACATTTTGGTTGTGAGATTTATCCATGTTGCTGCCGGTAAACAGTAGTTTATTCGTTCTCATTGCTGTATCACGATCCCATTATATGGGTATATAGTACCTGAGTTTACGTATCCATTTCTATTGATGGCCATCTGGTCAGTTCATATTTCCAGTTATCACTCACAGTACCACGGTGAACGTTCTAACATAGACCATGTTGGAAAATATCTGTGTGCATTTCTCTTAGGTATGTTCATAGAAACTACCCAACAGCTTTCCAGAGTGGTTGTCCCACCATACTCCTGGCAGTGCTGGAGAGTTCTAGCTGTTCCACGTACTCACCAACACTAGGTGTTACGTAGGGTCATTTTCCAGGGAAGGAAAGTGAAGCTCAGAAAAGTTATCCTGTGCTCGTCTAAGGACAATGTGCTAGTAACTGGCAGAGCTGGGATTCGAACACAGGCCTTTAGGATTCTGGGATCTGTGTTCTCTCCCTCTGGGTTAGACATAGACACGCATTGTGATATGAACCAGAAAGTGAGAAACGCTAACCCTAAAAATGTACGAAGAGTACTCTGGGAGAGTTTAAAGAGGGGGAGAATTGCCATCGATTTGGGGAGGGAGAGGATCATGGAGCCTCACAGAGATGTTGACATTTGAGTCGGGCCTTGAGGGAAGGGGATGGTTTTGCTAGGAGGGTGTCCCGGATGGGCCTGCCATGGAAAGGACCCACTTGAGTCAAGGTATGGCAGGGGTGAAAGTTTTGGGAGAATGGGAAAGGCCTACTTTGACTATAAATAGGACATATAGGGGAGCGGGACTAAGGCTGGAAAGGGAAGAAAGCCTGGTGGGCCTAGTTTGTCCTTTGGGGCTTCCCTGGCCCTATCCCTGGCCACCCAGGATGTGGAGCCCAAGGCAGAGGCTGGCCATTTTGCTGTGGAACTCAGGCTGCTTTGAATCCAGCTCAGCTCCTGATAGCAAATGGAGGTGGCCTCTGGCCCCATGGAAGAGCTTTGCTGTTCCTAGGAGTATTCTCAGGGTTTCTGCCAACAGAATTTTTTGGAGTTTCCTGCTTGCATCTAGCTGTGTGAAATTGGTAACCCCATGCCCCAGGATCTGACCTAGATATTTGTTTGAAAGGATTTTTTTTTTTTTTTGGCAGCAAAAAAAGGATGATAGGCAGCAGTCCTGCCACCCCCTAGCCTGGTCTCGAGAGATTTGCCAGGATGATTGGGGTGAGGGTGGGTCTAGCTTCCCATTCTGGGAGCCCTGGCATGAGTAAAATGATAATAATCATCATCCTTCTCATACCCTTATTATAATGGATCTCCTCATGGATGTAAGTAGGTGATATGCCAGGGGACTCCAAAAAACTGGAATTTATCTGTAAAAAATTGTGTATTTATTCTTACATATTTAAACTTCAGTCATGTTCAAAGTACTCTCTGTTTGATGTAATACACCTATTGAGATACTTTTTCCACTGCTCAAAACAGTTTTTGAACTCATTAATTTTGACTTTTAGTGCTTCTGCTATTTTCTTGTTTCACCTTTTCCACATCAGCAAAATGTTTCCCTTTGAGGACTTTTTTCATTCAGGGAAACAAAAAAGTTGCTTGGGGAGAGATCAGGTGAATAGGGAGGGTGGCGCATGGGGGTCATGCTGATTTTGGTCAAAAACTGCTGAACACTCAGCACAGTCTGGGCAGGTGTGCTTGTGAATCGCCCATCATGAAATGGGCAAATGCATTGAAAGAATCTGAAAAAAAAAAAAAAAAAAATCACGTAAGCTGAATGAAGCCTTTCACAACACCACTAGTTGGTACACTGATGTGGATGGGTTCCTAGAACACTCACCTAGCAGGGGAAGCCTGTACTAGAAGGGGCCCGCCCTCCTAAAACATAATTCTGTTTGTTTTTTTTATTGCCTCCCCATACATTCCCTGAGAGTTTGAACAGCTCCGGCCACTTGCCATTGAGGAGCTGAGCCCTCATGCAGTGGTGGCTCCACCCAGCCTGGTGAAAACAGTGGGTTCAGAGCCCAGGCATGGTTGGGATCTGATTGGCAGGCGGAATGAAAGCCTCCAGCACTAGCCAAAATGAGCACTGAGAGGTCTTTGCTAGCAACACTTAGGAGACATGCCCATAGGCAGCTGGTTTTATCTTTGTGATTTGTAGAGTGTGCCCTGTGCCCTGCTCTTGGGGTGCTGTCCAGATGGCATGTGGTGGTCCCAGGAATGGGCGAACCTCTTGGGGTAGGAGGACCCCAGAGGAGGATGCAAACCGTTTCTTCTGGTGGAGTGGTGAGCCCTCCCCATGGCTCAGAGCTGTCCTGTGGCTCTCACTGAGGTGCCCTGAGGCAGGCAGAGTTAGCTCCATTTTGCAGATGAGGACGCTGAGACCCCTCTGACAAGAAATGAGGTTGGAGAGCTAGTTGCTGGCAAAGCTGGAACCAGCGCCTCGGGCTCCCAACTCTTGGTGGTGCTTGTTGTAATTTGTCACACCCCTCCCGCCCACCTTTCTTTTGGAATGATGAGTGAGAGTGTTTACAGATCAGTTCAGACTTGCAGTTGGGTGGCACAACCCTGAGGAAGCTGAGGTCATGGTAATCCCTTACCTTCCTGCAGCGTTTTGTAATTTACAAAACAATTTCATGACTGAAGTTGATTGTTGTAGTATTAGCCCCATTTATAGATAAGGAAGCTAAGTCCCTGGCACCTTAGATGACTTACCCAAGCAAAATTGGGACTTGAATCTGGGACTTCTGTTTCTAAAACTAGTGCTTCCCCCCACCCCTTGCATCACAACTGCATCTTTTCTCAGTAGTTTGTGTGTGTGTTTGTGTTTGAGTAGAAGTCTCACTCTGTCGTCCAGGCTGTATTGCAATGGCACACTCACGGCCACCACAGCCTCGACCTGCTGGGCTCAGGTGATTCTTCCGCCTCAGCTTTCCAAGTAGCTGGAACTTCAGACATGTGTTACCACACCTGGCTAATTTTTAAATTTATTGTAGAGACGAGGTCTCACCAAGCTGCCCAGGCTGGTCTCAAACCCTTGAGCTCAAATCCTCTCACCTTAGCCTCCCAAAGTGCTGGGATTACAGACTTGAGCCACTTTGCCCAGCCTTTTCTCAGTAGTTTTGAGTTAAATGAGACACATGGCTGAAGTTCACCAGGGCCTATTTCTCTGAACTTCTTCAGTCAGATCTGAAGAGGTGAAGAGGGCTCTTTTTCTGTCTCCTTAACAAATCTGAATTCATATAAATAAAATAAAAACCATACATCATCAGCCACAGGTGAGGAAAGGCTTGAGCAGGACCGTTCTTGAAGAACCAGGGCTGTAGATGATTGTTAGATCACTAGCTCTCTTGCAGCTGATCATTTTTAGGCCTCAACTCTTAGGCTTGTGCTAATCTGCATGGCTATCCTAACCTCAGGTTTCTTCCTGTTTCAGGGTTGTATGGTCCAGGCCTCCATGAGGAGCCCAAACATGGAACCGTTCAAGCAGCAGAAGGTGGAGGACTTCTACGACATTGGAGAGGAGCTGGGGAGGTAGGAGATGATGTGAGAGGTGGGAGTGCAGAAGGAGCAAAGTCCCGCTTTTCCTGGTGCACTTGTCAGTTGGTGTTGGCAGGCTGGGGTTTGCTACAGGACCAGTGGGTAGCTTGAAAAATGGGCCTGGGCTGGCCATGATGGCTCACGCCTGTAATCCCAGCATTTTGGGAGGCTGAGGTGAGAGGATTGCTTGAGCCTAGGAGTTCAAGACCAGCCTGGGCAACATAGCGAGACTTCGTCTCTACAAAAAAATAAAAAAATTAGTTGTGTGTGGGAGCAGGTACCTGTATTCTCAGCAACTCAGGAGGCTGAGCCCAGGAGGGGAGGCTATGGTGAACCATGCTCATGCTACTGCACTCCAGTCTGGGTGGCAAAGTAAGACCCCAACTCAAAAAAAAAATAAAGAACCCAAAGTTTAATCACCTTCATGGGTGACTCTGCCCAGAGTCATGTCTCTGGAAATGAAGGCTTGCTAGGAGAAGGGGCAAGGATTGTTGAGTTCTGTGTTTTCAGTACAATCTGACTGACAGGGCAAATCTTAACGATTCTTGTTTTAGCTGTTACTTTTTTCACAAAGCTTCCCCCAAGCTCTGGATGGAGACCTGACTTGTTGGTTTTCTCCTCTGAGTTCCACTTGAGATTCCCTATGGTTCCCAGGTTTTGTGTTTTAAGCTCAGAGCCTGAATGGGCAAGCCCCTTGGGGCAGGGGGACCCCAGGGGAGAATGAAGCCATCCTCCTGAAAATGGGTTTGCAATGAAAAACCAGCCATGTGAAAACTAGTCATGAAGTTTTCCTGGGATCTGAGTTATTTGGTGCATTTTCAGAGTTGCTGTACCCAGAATGAAGCCAGGGCAAAACTCTGAGATCTGAAACTACTGCAGCTACTATTTGGAGAGAAATTAAGATTTTCTGAGCTCTTCTCGCCTTCTATTTCTTTTTCCTTTTTTTCTTTTTTTGAGTCTACTGCCCAGGCTAGAGTACAGGGGCATGCTCACGACCACTGCAGCCTTGACTGGCTGGGCTCAGGCGATCCTTCCATTTCAGCCTTCCAAGTAGCTGGAACCACAGGCACGCACTGCCATGCCTGGCTAATTTATTTATTTACTTATTGTTGAGACAAGGTCTTACCAAGTTGCCCAGGTTGGTCTCAAATCCCTGGGCTCAGGCAATTCTCTAGCCTCAGCCTCCCAAAGTGCAGGGACTACAGACTTGAGCCACTGTGCCCAGCCTCGCCTTCTATTTCTAACAACTGCTGATCTTTAGATCATATTTCAGTGATTACAAAACACTAGTCCTGAAGTTTGATTCTGACAACAATGCGTGACATAGGAATTATATTTACTCCCATTTTCCACATGAGGATATTGTGATCCAGAGTTTAAGCAAGTTACCCAGAATTTCTGAGCCAATGAATGACACAGCCACAGTTCTGAGCAGTCCAGTGTGTACCTGCACGCCTGTTGTGTTCTTTCCTGTGATCATGGCACCTGTACACGCACATGTGCTCTCCAGAATACCCAGCCACACCCCTTCACACACCAGCAGAGTAAAAACAGACTGGGGCTGGCCCTGACAATGGTGTTCAATGTGGTGGCCTCACCTGGGCCACGTCTCGTGTGTAGGGGTCTGCGCTAAGTGCTGTGGGTACAATGACGAGCAAGATCAGACAGTCTCCGCCCTCCCAGAGCTTTAGCCACACATAGGCTAAAAAGGGGTTGTCAGATTGGACTAGAGTCTGTGTGGGTGGAGAAATTACAAAGTCAGGGTAGAGGGTGGGGGGCACTGGAGAAGAAAGTAGAAACGGTTTCCTGGGGAATTAATGTATTTTTGCTTCTGAGTTTTGTCTCTTCCCCATTCCAAACATGAAGAACATGCCCTGCTAGAGCAGGAAGAGTCGTCATGTTTCTGGTCCTCCACAGCAGGATGTGGAAGCCTGTGCACCTCACAGCTGGGATGCTTTAGGATGACTCTCACACCCCCTCTCACTTTACCTACTCTCCTAAAATGCTGACTGGGCAGATGGTAGGTGTGAGGCAGCAGAAGCCCAGGACTGGTAGCCTTTGGAGTGACCAGATGTCCTAGGATTTGTAGTCTAGAGGTCGGATGAGCCAGATCTTTAGAAGTCCTCTCTTCCAGGCCCCTTCCTATGACAATTGAGGACCCTGAGGCTCAGAGAGGGAAAGGGTCTTGAGTCAGGGGCCATAGAATAGGCTGGAGCTAGAGCTGCCTTCAGGTGACCATTCAGCTTCTGAAGGGACAGTCCTGTTTGTCTCTCCTCCCCTCCCTTTCTTCACTTAGCATACGATTGAGGACCACTGTGTGCCAGGCACTGTCTGAGGCAGTGGTGAACATGACAGATACATTCCTGCCCTCTTACGGTTCATGCTCTACTGGTGGAGAAAGTCACTAGAGGAGTAAACACAACAGGATAAGTCACCTTGAGGTGTGCCAAGGCCTACGAAAGGGGAAAGAGGATGCTTTGTGAGGGATGCTGGGGGCCGTCGCTGAGACTGGGTGGTTGGAGAAGGAAGGAGCTGTTCATTTTAGAATTGAAGAGTAATTGTGCAGGCAAAGGCAACAGCATGGACAGACCCTGGAGTGGGGAGGAGCCTGGGGCCTGAGGAGCTGGCAAGAGGCCAGTGTGGCCTTGGAAAGTGAGCCTTGGGCAGGTGGTGCTGGATGAGTTGGTTAGGAAGTTCCAAGCCAACATGGAGTGGTGGAGAGGTTTGGCCTTTGGGGTCCCATGGGTTGGAATTGGGTCCCCTTCTTTGCACCCGTCCTTATGCAAACTTAGGACAACTTACTCAACCTCTCTAAGCCTTAGTTTTCTTACCTATAAGACAGGAATAGTTACAGTATCCACCTCATGGTTGTGGGAATGAAATGAGATGCTGAGTTGAAGTTGTTTCTCTCACAGAACTGGGCACATGGTGAGTATCCGTGAACAAGAGCTTCTGGGCTGGGCATAGTGGCTCACACTTGTAATCTCAGCACATTGGGAAACTGAGGCAGGAGGATCACTTGAGGTCAGGAGTTAAAGACCAGCCTGGGCACCATAGTAAGACTCTGTTATCTATAAAAAAATTTTTTTTAGGCCAGGTGCAGTGGCTTGTGCCTATAATTCCAGCACTTTGGGAGGCCGAGGTGAAGTTGTTGCCTGAGCCCACAGATTTGAGACTAGCCTGGGCAACTTGGCAAGACCTCATCTCTACAATAAATCAAAAAATTAACTGGGCGTGGTGGTACATGCCTGTAGTTCCAGCTACTTGGAAGGCTGAGGTGGAAGGATCACCTGAGCCCAGCAGACTGAGGCTGCGGTGGCCATGAGCGTGCCACTGCACTCCAGCCTGGACGACAGAGTGAGATTCCAACTCAAAAAGTAATTAAAAAAAAAACAACAAATTTCTTGCCTTTCTCAGATGATGGGCATAGCCTTTGAAGTAAGTTCTGGATGTCAAGGCCTTACCTCCCATCCCTGAAGTCCCAGAAGAAGAAGGTGCACGACTCTTCAGAAAGGACAGCAGGGGGTCATCCTAGTTTCTGGGAAAGCTGTATGTAAACCTTTCTCTGCTATCAGTGACCAACCTAGTGTAGACTCAGAGCTGTCTTGTTGATTTTAGCTCTTCATTAAGTATTTACTATGCAAAAATGACAATGAATGACTTATATATAACGACAGATGACGCTCACAACTATGTTGTACAAAAGATGTTGGACTCAAAAGAGTCCACACTGTATCATTCCATTTGTGTAAAGTTCAGGACAGACAAAATGAGTCCATGGTGCTAGAAGTCTGAATGGTGGCTATCCTTGGAGGTCTAGTGACTAGAAGGGAACAAAAAGGGGGTCCTTGTCTTCAGGTATTTTCCTCCCTCCCTTCCCTCGAACTCCTGAGCTCAAGCAATCCTCCCACCTCAGCCTCCCAAAGTGCTGGAATTACAGGAATGAACCACTGCGCCTGGTCTATTTTCTTTCTTTCTTTCTTTCTTTCTTTCTTTCTTTCTTTCTTTCTTTCTTTCTTTCTTTCTTTCTTTCTTTCCTTCCTTCCTTCCTTCCTTCCTTCCTTCCTTCCTTCCTTCCTTCTTTCTTTCTTCCTTTCTTTCTTTCTTTCTTTCTCTCTTTCTTTCTCTCTCTCTTTCTTTCTCTCTTTCTTTCTCTCTTTCTTTCTTTCTTTCTTTCTCTCTCTCTCTCTCTCTCTCTCTTTCTTTCTCTCTTTCTCTCTTTCTTTCTCTCTTTCTTTCTCTCTTTCTTTCTCTCTTTCTCTTTCTTTCTTTCTTTCTTTCTCTCTTTCTTTCTTTCTCTCTCTCTCTCTCTCTCTTTCTCTCTCTCTTTCTTCTTTCTTTCTCTCTCTCTCTCTCTCTCTCTCTCTCTTTCTTTCTTTCTTTCTTTCTTTCGTCTCATTCTGTTGCCCAGGTCAGAGTACAGTGGCACACTCACAGCCACCACAGCCTCGACCTGCTGGGCTCAGGTGATCCTTCCACCTCAGCCTTCCAAGTAGATGGAACCACAGGCATGCACCACCACACCTGGTTGATTTTTTGATTTATTGTAGAGATGAGATCTTGCTACGTTGCTCAGGCTGGTCTTGAACCCCTGGATTCAGGCAATCCTCTTGCTTCCACCTCCCAAAGTGCTGGGATTGCAGATGTGAGCCACTGTGCCTGGCTAGTCTGTTTCTTGATCTGGGTGTTTGTTTCATGGATATGTTCATTTCATGGATATTTATATCAAGACATACGTGTATATTTACATTTTCCTGTTTGTATGCTATACCATAATTAAAATAGTGTATTTACAAATAACCTTTCATCTACTCCCTGTCCTGGTCTGGTCCCAGAAGCACATGTTTCTGATTCCTTTGGAGGCCTTGTCTTTCCTTATCCTACAAGTAAGAGAACATTTGTAAGAAAAGCTTTGACTCAGAACTGGTTGCCCCGGCTGAAACATCCTGTGCTTAGCTGGGACCCTACCTGGCCCTGTAGATTTTACTTGATTT